ATTGCTTGAAGAGAACTAATAATTAATCTAGCCAAAGACTTTTAATAACAAATATTATGATTTAAATTAATAATTAGCTCTTTTCAAGCAATGTGTTTTGAAATAATGCACGGGGCATTATTTCATGATGGCACAGCATCAAGGAAAACATTCAAAATCCAAATTAGGTGCACATTGCATATACAGTTTTAAATTTATTGTTCACATGCCGCACATGTTATTAATTATAATGTGCGCAAAGCGCATAGGTTTATTTATTTATTATTATTATTATTTTTTTTGTAAAGTTGTAAGTCAACAGAGACATATGTATAATAAAATTTTAAATATTTTTTAAAAAAATCAATTGATAAAAGATGTAAAATCAATTTTTATTTGCTAAAAGTAAAATATAACTGAATAAAAAAATAAAATTATATAAATTTTTCAAGTTTATTTTATTTTTTTTTTAAATTTTTGCTCTACAACGTATATGAAATGATTTTGCAAGCTAAATTATCTAGACTAAAAATAAAAATTTTATAAAAGGAAATTTTAGTAATTGTGGCTGTTTTTGTAAATCGAGATTGATCGAGCATTCGGCTAATTCTTTTTAAGTACAGCGATGTCTTATAGTCGACATCTAAGTATTATAAATCGAAAATTAGAAAATCTATTGAGTATTAAGAGCATTCGGCTGATTTTTTTAAGTGTAGCGATGTCTGATACATTGACACCTGCATGCTCAATAAACCCAGAAAAAATTATTATAAAGGCTCTGCCTCAGCCAGTATGCGCAACCTAAATCGCACTTGAAAAAAATTAAAAAATTATCAAAAATAAGTAATTTACCCAATTTTATAAAAAGATAGATAAACAATGGAAAAATTCTTATACGAAGTTCCATCCAACTATGAAGAAGTTTATGGTGACCTAAACTGCCAACCTAATATTGATATTAGACAAACAGTGATGGATAATAGTCTCAAATTTGATTGTCATTCATTAGAAAAATTAAGAAAAATGTTAGCTAAATCGATTGAAGAATCAGACAATAAATCTCCTGAAAGCGATGATGAATTCCTTGAGTGTGATAATGATGCTGAAATATCCAAGAAAGGATTTGAAAATCCTGTTCCTTCTACATCTAAGAACAATACCACATTAGCACGTTGCATTGTTATTGACAATGACGATCAAAATATAATTCAAAGGTGCGATGGTCTGGGCGATTGAAGTTGGAAATCATTAGTCGGCACATGAGAAATTGATTCTCAGGCTCTACAGGAAGTTGGAAATGATACTTCGAAGTTAAAAATTTGTATGCATTACCTAAACTATGACCAAAATGCAGTACACAAATCAGATTCAAAAACTACTATAAAGTCAATACGGTCCACTGAAATAAGCACAATAGCTACATATTGCTGTCTATTTTGCAATAGATACAAATGCTTTGTTACAAGAGGAATAACATGTATGTTACATACTTGGGAAGTGTATAGACGCACGATTCAGGCCCCATGCTGCGGATTGTTTAAATGCTCTGCAATAACTAATTATAATGGAATATCAAAAAAGTCGTTAGAAAATAATAATTATCGTTTTATTTGCACAAATTGATTTGTAAAGCAAGGCGGTCACGTACCAATTCGAAAAAAAAAAGAGAAGTCGAAGTCTATCTTTCTTCAAGGTAACAGATGAGGGTTTTTATACATTTTGAGCAAATTATGATTCACAATATCTTGGATTTTTTGGTAATCTTTTATTTTAACTAACCTAGTGAATGCAATATAAAAAGATATGAAGACATGAGATGAAGAAATAACATGATGTGATATAAGATTATTTATGTGGAATCTGAAAGATTAATATTTGATTTTTGAATATCTTCATACTAGAGTCAAAGTCAGATAATTTTCAACTAGAGATGTTTATGTGATCAAGTGACAAAATCTCATATAACAATTTCTCTCCTGCTTAATTATAAGCTTCTGCGAATAAGTAGACACAATAACAAATACCAACTTGAAATATTCTATAAACATTGTTTATGTGGTTCAAGCTTTTTTATAGTATTTCTTTAATACTAGAGTGTTTTCAAGATTTGATTTTCTATTGTACATAGCTTATACACATCTTGTGAAAGAATAATATATGGTTCTAGCTATTTTGAAAAGAATTTACTACTATACTGACCAAGTTGAGCTACATTATATAAAAAAACTTTGTTACTTGGTTGAAAAATTTGTATAATTTTCTTAAGCTTCTTATCTTAATAAAACTTTAACTGTTATTGAGCCATGCTAAGATTAGCTACATCACAATTAACTACTAAATTGTTTATTAAAACATCTACTTTTTTTATAATAGTTTCTTCTACTGAGATCATTAATAAAAAATCTAAAAATTGGTTTAGGCCACAGATAAACTAGTCTGAGCTTCTATTCTTTTTATAATATTTTAAAAGTAGATTAATGCTTTATGTTATAATCTCAATTAAATATTTAATAAAGTTAAAGGCATAGCTTCACCATTAATATTAAAAAAAAATAAAAAATCTGAAAACTTGGCTTTATATCTATAGGTGAAATGAATCTAATCATTAACTGTTTTGATATGCAATATGTAAATAGTACAGAAGATATCAACATATTCCATTCTTAATCTTGAATTACTCATTTTGCTAAAAATTTATATAATATATATTTATAGCATTTCACAAGTTTATTCATTTGTGAATAATATGGTATAGATAATAAATGTTTAATTTCAAAATGTTATACTAAGAATTTTAGTACTTTATTGTTAAAATAGAGTTCTTGATCTAATATCATATAGGTTGAACATTTATACTAGCAGATAATTTTTTAAAAAATAAAATAGGCAGTTTGTTGTAGTGTTAGTATATGATCTATTATAACCTTTATAACCTTTATAACTATTATAGATCATAAGGTCATAAAAATATATATTATAAATTATAATCTAGATTATAATCCTATCTAATAGAAATTGTAATTATTTGGCTTTGTAACTTTGTTCTTTAAAACTTAACCTTAATATGTGAAAATTTTGAATTTATAATAACCAGTTTTAAGGGTTAAATATTTAATTAAATTTTCATAGTCTTTAAAATTAGCAATCAAAGAACATATCAATTAATTTTGTTTCACTAATATTAAATTTTTATTTAGTACTATATATATTGCACACCTCAATAATCCATACATATGTATATTATATGTAAGATATATATTTAACAAAAATCTAAATACTATAATACAGGTCTGTTTAAATAAAGGAAAACAAAGATCTTTAAAAATTTATTTTTCATATTATTTGTTACTTATTACTAATTTACAAGCTATTTAAAGATAAAATATAATAATTCGTTTATTAAAAAAATATCAAAGAATATACTCTATAATAATATTTATAAAATATATTTAATTGATGATAATATATATCAATAATTGTTGCAGATTAAAATAAAATCTAATCAAAATAAAATAGAAACCTTTCATGCTCACCCTTAGAGTCTATAAAACTCACATATACTTATTTATTAATAAACCTAACTCTAAACCTACTCTAATATTAAAAAGAACTCCAAAAAATGTCTCACAAGAATTTTTAAATTTTCTTTAAAAAACAGAAAAATTTTATTTTAATTAAATTTTATTTTAATCAGTGATAATAATTGAATAAATTGTTAATATTTGTCACAAATTAAAATGAAATCTGATTAATATGAAACTGAAAATCTCTCATACTTATTCTTAGAGCCTATAAAACCCATATATACTTATTAATTAATAAATCTAACTCTAAACTCTACTCCTAATGCTAAAAAGAACTCCAAAAATGTCTTTCAAAAAATTTAAAATTTTCTTTAAAAAACAGAAAATTTTATTTTAATCAAATTTCATTTTAATCAGTGACAATATTTATGTTTATTTCCAATATCAATTATACTAGATCTTCCATTTTTAATAATAAATATCTTGTATTATCTGTAAATATAAATGCTTTTCATTTTAACAGTTAATAAGCATTTACTTTTCCCAATTTATATTCAACTCTAATTTCTTTTTTATAATATATACTAACTAAATTTGTTTTATCATTACTTATAACAGTGATTTTAGTAGTACGTGAATGCACTGTGTTCGTTTTTTCAGCTTTAATTCTATATTCAAATGATAACTGATCATCTGCATCACTTATATTATTAGATTATCTTATTATTTAATATAATATTCTAAATGTTTGTAACTTAATAAGTGTTTTGTGCTTATGCCTTATATCTATCTTTTCTGATCCAATTTCCTTTTTTTCATTAAAAAAAACAATTTTTTTATTAAAATTAGTAAATTCTAAATCGAAATATAGTAGTATTTTTAACAAAGAAACAATAAGTGAATCTAAATACCATTTGGCTGTTTTATTATTAGCAGAATATTTTTTTCATCTTTCTAAACTAAAATTTGCTTTCCATTCACCTAACAATAAAATTTTGTTATTCTTATTTTCAAATTAGTTTTTATATTCTTCAAACTCAATCTATTCATTAATTAGATTTTCTTATATTTGTTTCTTATCTACAACAAGATCTTCATTTTCTTCAAGACTTTGATTTTTTTGATTATGAGATTTGGTAGTTATCTCTTCTTCAACATCACTATTGTTACTTATATAATAATCTAAATCAGTAATGCTTAATTCTTGTTCAATGTTTTCATTGGCTAATACAGATGTTGCAACATGTATTCTGTGGATTTGGTTATTATATTCTTTGCGTTCTTGATTTTATAAGACCAAAGGATGTTATTTCAAATTTAGTTTATTGCCAAGACTTTACTTTGCTATGATATTATAAGACAAATATTAATCAAAATTAATTTATAGTAATTACGGTTAAAGGGTATAAATTTATTAATAAAAATCAGTGAAATACTATTATTATTTTTATATTATACTAAAATGTCAAAGACTTTAAACAACCATATAACTATTAAAAAGAAAAATATAAATAGTTTAAAAATTACTAAATCAATTTAATAATTCTATAAGAACCAAAATAATTTGCACTAAAAAAGCATTTTATCAACTCTTTCTGACAATCCTCTGAACAATAACTGAACTACAGAAAAATAATATAGGAATGTCCAAGACAGATACTTCTCAGTCTTACTTTAGAGTAAAGCAGTTGTTAATGAAATCTGAAAACATTGTTATATTAGTAGATTTTATTAGCATATTTTAGAAGATTTTATTAATATATTTTATTAGTATAATTTATATTTA